CCTGACTGCATTAAAAACAATAGAAAACTGCGGTACCCAGCTCGCTTGCCAAGCATCGCAACTATGGCGAAATCTCCCCTATGGACCAATCTATAGGCCCATAGATTGGTCCATAGGGGAGATTTTGTCAGATATGTTCATTAGTGGGCTTTCATAGGCTATTATGGATGGATGGATGGATTCAGATATTGAAATAAATAGATCCAATATCAGATAAACAAATCCAATACATAGATATGATTTGATTTAGAGTAAGAGTGGTATTACCCATGACTTCAAACGAGGCTCAGAACTTATTTAAAGAGTGAGTGAGGCGCCTTCGTGACCGCCGTAGACATGTAGCGATAGAAATGTACGCGGGCAAATTGATTTGTCATAGTTGCCGCGTGCTAATAATCATTTTTATAAAATTAAGGTGAATAACCTGCACGTAGTCTACATGATAGTAAATGGATGTTGTGGCTCATAGACATTTACGTCTTTACTCGATTAAAAATCAAAATAATTGATAGAATTAGGCGTTACTTTGCGGGAAAAAAATGCGGATGCGTTGACACCGCTGAGTACAGGCGCCAGTCTATCAAGGAATTATGTAGCATATGTGATTGATTAAGCATATGTGATTGATTATGGGACAATAAAGATCTAAGTTTAAAGCGACCGTGGCAACCTTTGTCGACATACATTTTCTAAGCGAAACTATGGTTCATTTTTATTTCTGCAAAAACTATCTCAGATCGTGCAATACAGGCAATATTGCGACAATGAGAAAAACCAACAAGCCCTGATTGATCTGGCTCAGAATTCCTTTAATGCAAATACGTCGTTTACTACGTAGATACTGTACATATGCGTGTTGAATTCGTATACATACGTCGTCTGTTTGCTAAGAGTTTCTTCCTCGCACGACTTTCATGCTTACTACCGGATATTTTCTGGACCGATATGAGCTAGGAACCTTCAAGAATCGAGCTTATTCTTTTTTAAAAGGCCGGCTACAGACGTACAATACCTCTCCTTTTGCAGTTATTTATTGGCGGCGGTCAACACTTTCCTTCAGGTCAGCCGGCATGATAGTGTGACGGGTAGAAGGAAAAGGTGGGAGCTCCCGCCGGGCAAGGTGTTCTTCGGAGCTATTATATATATATACTGTTTTAATTTCGGAACTTTGTTAGCGCGATTTAGGCTTCGATGTGTTTCGCTTGTGGCGCGACGACAGCGCCGCCACATCACCCCCCTGCTCAGGCCGGAGGTCGATAGTGCAGTCTAGATGTCGACGAATTTGCAAGTGCCAGGGAATTGCCTTGTAGTCTGTGAGTCGAGAAGAAGGCAAGTAATCTGCGAGAGTGCCGTGAAGCAAAGGCGAGCAGTAAGGCTCATAGCCGTGCCGAACACTGTAGCACAGAGAGTAGCTTGAAGGAACAGGAAGCTTTATTATTCCAGTGCTGCGATGAACCTTTGTAAAGCTAGACGGCTTGCAGAATGTGAAGACTGCAGACAATATCAGCTCGGGAGGTAATGAATGTGGTACTTGAGGATGATGAAGATTTGAAGGTGTAGTTTCCGAAGGTTTGTTGGTGCGTGTTCATATCATTTACAGTAATATTGGGGTGAACCGCATCGCGAACGGATGTGAGTGAAGTAAGAACAATGTAGGACCTAAGACACTACCTTGGGGAACACCGTACTCTATTGTAGTGTCAGTACTATTGTAATTGTCAATTTTTACGCATTGGGACCGGTCTCTAAGATAATCAGTTAGGAGTTTTAGTGGCACTCCTCTAATGCCAATACCTTCCATTATTTTTACAAGGGTGGGGACCGATACCGTGTCGTAAGTTTTTTTTTAAATCTAAGAAGACTGTCAGGCACTTTTTTCCACGATCTAAATACTGGGTTACTAAGGAGGTTAAGCCTGAAATGGCGTCTTCTGTTGATTTTCTTTTTCTGAAACTAAATTGGGAACTGGATAAAATATTAAATTTTTCAAGGTAGGTAATAAGGCGTGAATTTCTTAGTCTCTCAATAACTTTAGAAATAACCGACAAGACTGAAATCGGTCGATAATTAGTTATATCTAAATCTTACTTATTTGTACATTTTTTGCTCTGGCTGTTGTGTTCTGGTGTGAAGGGTATAGAGGCAGTATGATAACAAGCTATGAAGTGTTTCATCTTAGGACTACAAACAAAACATACTACAGATACCGTCTTAGTTCTATGGATTAAGATGGTATCTGTAGTACATTTTGTTTGTAGTCCGTAGAATACAGTAGCTACTTTTCACCAAGTAGACTATCTTTACTCTCTGTTAAAAAGCGTACGATTTTAAGTAAGCTTTAAAATAAAAACGTACTACTAATTACGTTAAAATAATAACTACTGAAAATATTGATTCATAATGCTGCATGACTGTGAAAGAAAAAAAAAAACCAAAACATGTAAAGATTATGAATATGCCATGGGGCAGTGCGGCAGACATATTTTTTACCTCAAATCCGCTCAGAAAGGAGAAGGGGCCTGTTCCCAGCTATGAGACGTATATAAACTGTAACTTTACTTGGATAACTATAGTTTTTTTTATGAAATAAGAGTGACAAAAGAGTTCATCATTGCCTTGTTTTCAGCAAAAAGAATCTCCGGAATTCTAAACCCACCATACGAAACACAGCAGCATGAAGCTGCTATTTTATGTTGGAATTCTATGAGATCGTGGTCTTTCTCTGGTTGAGTCGACCATTTTATGCTACAACCATAATATAACTCAACCTAATAAATGTTGTAAGACGTTCAAATGAGAGAGAAAATCGCTCTAATATAAAGAACATATTCTAAAGCACAGAATAATACGCCCTGATATTTGCTTGATGTCTATAGAAAACAAATTTCGGCCTTAATCTGTCTTGTTTATAACGCGCACATAAAGCCATACATAATCTTAGTATTAATTTACTATTTATTAGTATTAATTTTAAATAGCTGTAATGGTGATTTGATTAAATAATTAATATGCAAAGGATATTAAAATGTATAGAGATTAATTGACTAACATGATTAATACTACTGACATGGTTTACGCCTAAGATAAGCGAATAGTGTACGCTTTGAATGTCTGTTTATGTATTTGATTTCAGTATTCACGCGCGATGGCTTATTAGCGTATTTCATGTATAACTTTGGTGTTTCTATACCGATTTCTATGATTCTTTTTTAATTAATAGAAAATAATGTTAACTTTTTTTAATTAGGATTGAGTGAGAGTGTTATAAACGTAAGAGTAGACAAATATATTCAGAAAGCTCCGAACTGCTAAGCTATCGGGAGTTACACGTGTTATTGTGAGTCAACCATAAAAGATAGTAATATGCTGTCGTGGGATATTTTTTATATAATTTTAAGGAAAACGTTTCCGTTATACATGATTTCTGTGTAGCTTTAACCATTAAGGATGCACACGCGACGGAAGCTTAAAAAATGGAGTAATATCTCCCGTTTCCCCAACATTTACCGTCACTGCTCTGCTCCTATTAATTGTAGCGTGATGAAAAGTATACTATAACCTGCCCAGGAGTATGAGGAATGATTGTACCAAGGTTGGTTAAAATCCGTCGCGTAGTTTTTGTTTCTATAACGAACACACAGACAGACAGACAAAAATTTTACTGTTTGCATTTTTGGCATCAGTATCGATCACTAATCACCCCCTGATAGTTATTTTTGGAAATATATTTCATGTACAGAATTGACCTCTCTACAGATTTATTATAAGTATAGAAGATGTAAAATGTACAGACATCTGCTATTTACAGTTTTATTATATGTATAGATGTGGGCCATACCATACATCTACTTGATGTGCCGCTATGCTCGTTTGTCATCCTATTTTGTTAAAAATTATGCTAATGTCGCGTAGGCTACACTACATTACAAAAAGTTACGGAAACAGTTTCATCTTTTTTTTTATAAAATAAGAATGACAAACGTACAACAAACATAACAACACAGTGTACCTGATGTTAGTGGATTCTGTGTTCCATAGATTCCATAAATAAGAGAGTAAAAGAAGTAGTTGAAAGGAAAAAGCAAGAAAGAACAGATAAGAATGATAGAAGAATATTGGATAACTTCCAGGCAAACATTAAAATGTTCTGGAAACTCGTAAGAACTGCCAGTGGACATTCAAAACAGCCTAGAATGAATGCTAATGTTTAAGGAATACTTTAAAAGCGTATTTATGAGTGATGAGACATTTGAATTAAATGAAATAGAATTTCCGAAAGAAGAGGAAATAGATAGAGACGTAAGTATAGATGAAATAATGAAAGCAATGAAAAGTATGAAAGCAGGTAAGGCAGCTGGATATGACAGAGTATCTCTAGAAATACTAAGGACTGGAGAAGGAGTGGTGGCAGATCTGCTGCACGCCTTGTTTAATTTATGTTGGGAACTTAAGCGGGTACGGGTAGACTGGTGCAAAAGCGTAATAGTCCCAACGTATAAAGGAAAAGAATCACAGCAGGACTGTGAAAACTACCGTGGTATCAGCCTTCTTAGCATTGTGGAAAAACTGTATGCGAAGGCACGAATTGAAAGAGTTATGAAAGAAACTGATGGAAAAATTTGGGATGTGCAAGCGGGATTTAGAAAGGGAATAGGATGTACAGATTAGGTCTTTTCCATGTGCATGATCGCGGAAAAGTTTTTGGCCAAAAACCAAAAAGTTTTTTTACCGTTCGTGGACTTGAAGAAGACTTATGACAGAGTGTACAGGGATGTGTTATGGAAACACTGAACTCATTTGGGTTGAGCGCTGGGTTGATACAGGCATTGAAGTCTCTGTATAGGGACTCAAGTGCTAGTGTCAGGATCAACGGAGCCTACTCGGACTGGTTTGGCATCCATAACGGTGTCAGACAGGGCTGTGTGGCTTCCCCGTGGCTGTTCAACCTATTTATGGACCGTTGTTTGGAAAATTTGAAAGTAAAAGAATGCGGGTTGAGAATGGCTGAGTTAACCGTCAAATGCCTTTTGTACGCTGATGATCAAGTCATACTTGCGTCGTCGGTGGCTGAGTTGCAAATGATGGTTACATTAATGAACAGGACATTAAAAGAAAAGGGAATGAAAGTGAACGCAAGTAAGACGAAAGTTATGGTTTTTGAAAGAGAAGAAAGTAAAACGATATGTGAGATAAGAATAGAAGCGGAGTTGGTAGAGCAAGTAGATGAGTTTGTGTATTTAGTATGTTTATTTAGCAGGGATGGCAGACATGATAAGGATATAGAACGACGAGTGAATGCAGGAAATAGAGTGAATGGGGCTCTACACGAGTGTCAGTGAGAAGTCAGAATATGTCCAAAAAGGCACGTATGCCAATTCACAATGCTGTGTTAGTCCCTACTTTAATGTATGGTAGTGAAAGTTGGGTGTGGCAGAAGAAGCACGAGAGTAGAATAAATGCTGTCGAATAGCGGTCATTAAAGAGTATGTTAGGATATTAGAATATATATATAATAGGCATGTAGAAATAATGAATGAGGAAAGAGTGACAAAGCAAATTTATGTTACAGAGGTGAACGGCAGAGTCGTGATGGGACGCCCTAGGCGAAAATTTATCGACCAAATTGGCGATATATTGAAAATGGGCCAGAGAGTACCTTTAACCGACGAGTGTGTATGCCTAGGTACATGGATGTGGAGGAAGCGATAGAGGTGTGTCAGAAGCCAAATGGAAATCCATAGCGTCTGCCTACCCCTCTGGGTGACAGGCGGTATATATGTATATATATCCTCTATTAGGAATCAAGTGCAGATGCGTTATCACTCCTGAGAATGTCCCCTTTCCAGTAATAAGGGTTTCCGGTTTTCTACACTCACTATATGAAACACAGCAGCATTAAACTGCTATGGTACGTTGGTAATCTGTACTGCGCTATCTAAGAGCGTGGTCCTTCCCCAGTCTAACCGACTTATTTGTGCCACAACCATAATATAGCTACAACATGGCTCTACCACGTATGTACCAAAGTATGTATGCTGTGGCTTCTGAACAGTCCCGATATAATATCCTTCTCCGAAGTATTTCCTATCCTCCCTCCACCCCTATATACGCACTAATCAAGAAAGATGCGCCACCAATCGTCAAGAAGAATAAGAAGCAAGATGGCCGCGTGCGCATAAACCGTGTTCGTTGGAAGACTATCGTGCAATTGCTTGTATACATGTGAATTCGAAGTGCAGTGTCGTGTCTGTGTATACACTGGAACTTCAGCATTAATATTTTGACTTCATCATAACCACGAGGAGTGCTCCAATTTTGTGAGTATCTTTGCCTTGTCTACCCAGTTCTAAAGCTATTTTCGTTTGGCTCCCGGTTGGTTTGGCCAGCTCTTGGTCTGGTTGTTCTTTATTTCCCTAAACGAACCACGAAACTCTTTACGAAACATTCAATAACATAATTTCTGGTCCATACGATCCGGGTACCTATGAAATTATATTTTTTTACGGTCCGCTCCTTATTAAGATAATATCAAGTTCAATTTCTAAGCAAAAGTTTGGTATTTCAATCTATTTTTGTTATAATTGCAAATAACTAATTTATTTCAATAATAATCCCGCTAGATTTGAATGCGCGTTAAGTGTTTCGTATTGCTCAGACTTTACAGACTTATCTTTTTTACTTATCTTCACGCACAATCCCTGACGAGGTAGCCAGAGAGAACAGATCGCCAAGTGTCACGATCCTTACATATCTCTTTCGCTTCTTTCAGATTCATTATCTTCTTCATGCATGCACGTCTAGGTATCCGAGTACTCTTGACCCTACCCTCTTCGAGCAATTTGCTCACATGGTCTTCGAAAGTTAGTCTCGGTCTACCTCGACACCTTTTAATATTAACTTTCGCGCTATATATTTTCTTCACCATTCGGTCTTCACTCATTCGCTCAACGTGCCCAAACTACCGAAACACGCCCTTATCAATTTTTGTGATAAGGTCATTTTTCAAACCTGCCATATTGCGAATCTCTTCGTTTCGCTTTCGGTCGGCCATGGTAACGCCGCACATTTTTACGAAGAGATCGCATCTCCACTGCATTCAACTTACTTTTATGCTTCTTCTGGCATACCCAGGTTTCGCTGCCATATAACAAAGTCGGTACCAACACTGCGTTATGTATTGCAAGGCGTGCACTCTTCGCTACGCCTTGCCTTTTGACTAACGCAGTCAGGGCACCATTGACTTTGTTCCCGGCAGCGACACGCCTGTCCACATCTAAATCACATCTTCCATCCCGGCTAAAAGCACTCCCCAAGTATACAATTTCATTTACCTGTTCTAGACATTCCTGATTTACCCATATTTCACACTTCGTTCTCTCTTTTTTAGTTACATTATATTTCCTAAGTTTATTTCGAATGTGCATTGGTAGTCTTACGCTTTGAATAATTATTATAACTTGAGGGTATTTTATAATTATTGGAACTAATCCGGGTTTCGCTACAGTCAGTAGACCTTGACTACCATTTGACCATGATCTTTTTCGCACTTACTTGTCGTAGGTGATCCACTTTTCATCTTCAGTGATCAATCTTTTCAAAAATGGTTTGGTTTCATTACGTTTCAATATAAAATAGCAAATGAGCACATTATTCATTAATTTTCTTATAGTGAGCTCGTGTGGTACCCAAATATCGAGCTTTTTTGTTAGGACAGACTTTTTCAAATAGTGCAAACCAGTTTTGTGATCAATCCTTAATTTCTCTTCTATGTTTTAACTACTGATATGCCGATCTTGCACCAATTTTTGAAAAATGGCATCACCTTTATCCGTATGAGAACGACTACAGCAAGCTGCATTTGGACATTAAATTTCCCGGACTAAACACGCTTGAACCAAATTTGTGCTACTCTTACTGACACTGAATTAAATCCAAATACGTCACAATTTTTTTCACAACTTGAGTCATATTTTTCCCTTTTTTGAAATTAAACTTCAGAATGTATCGAACTTCTTCCTTAGATTCACTCATTTTGGCGGGCAGAAAATCAAGTGAAAAAAATGGCGGGAAAGTGTTTTCTTACTTTTATATTTCTTTTTCTTAATGTCCTTTATGTATTCATATGAAAATTACCCAGATACACACAGTACAACTAAAGATATTTTTATACAATTTTATACAAACCAAACACGAACAAACTTTTTCACCGTCCTATTATCATTAAACTGCAATGAATGTATCAATATCATTCCTAATTAAATAATATAACTCTTTAAACTATAACATGCATGCATGCATATATTAGTTAGAAAATAGATTATGAATTTATAAATTTCAAACTATTTTTTATTTGAAGTAAATTTATTATCTCAAAACTTCATTAGGAATTCTATCACGCAGTAGAACTCTAAACAAAGCCCTCTAAACGAAGCATGCTGAGCGATTTTCAGCTTCCCCTTACGGACGGCAATAAAGGACCAAGTTTCACATCATATTATCTTTAAACTTATAATAAACTAGAAGTTCGTTAGATTATATATATATATATTCGAGTTTAAAGACAGGTGCGCTCGTTATTTCCTCACTCTCATAGTCCAATGGAGCGGTATTCCGACATAACCAGGGAGATATCAGGCGCAAAACTAACTAATTTACGTGCTTTCCGAGGCACGGGGGTGTAACATTGCCAACATCCTAATTTCGGGCTGCTATTGAGAATTTCTTTTCAGAAGAACTCAATAACTGATTTTTTGTTTCCACCCAAGATTTGAACCTGAGGCCTCATAATCAGCCGCATTTACGACCACACGAACAATATGACAGTCATTCTGGGATATATGTATATAATGCTGTAACCTTACTACATGCAAAGGATAACTTTCTCTTAACGCTATTTTTTGATACAAAAACCGAAAACAACTGACTCTAAAGCAATTTTGCAATGCCAACAATTTGAACGTTAATCGGATTTTGAACAACGCAAGAACAAAAGCCTGTATTGTAGAAATATAAATTCTGCAGCGATTAAATTATTTACGGAAGCAATATTTTATTTATGGAATACATAAATTGCGGAAAAATTATTTAATGAAGAAAAAATCACGGCTCAATGGAAAATATTTATATATAATGCTACTTTCACATCTATATATCCACACATACATATTTGCCGGTTACGATATTCTTTATTTGCCCCATCTTCAATATATATCAAATTTAGTCGATAAATTTACATTTCAGGCGAACTTTGGTAATGTCTGCCTATTTAAACTTATCAAATGTTCCTTCCACAGGAAGGCCTATGATCAGCACTGGACTTACATTGGCTGTAATAAATGAATGAATTAGTATTATATATGACGACACCTGCACCGTTGTAGATGCGGTGGCGTCGGTCTAGCTAGACAGAATTCTTGTAAACGACATGTGTACCGCACACCTGCGGCATTGCACCTGCGTTGCCACCCGTCCTGCTTGTATAAAACGGACGGAGCGGCCGCCGTTAGGACAGTCTTGGCTCAGACGTGGAACGGTGCGCTTGTCGTATTCCGTTACTAGTTTATCCTCGACTCGTTGGATAATTAATTCGTGTAAACGAATTAATTATTATTACTAACTACAAAATCAGTCTCTGTACTATACCCCTTATACTTCCTACATCAGAAGTGGGATTGACGACACCTGCACCGTTGTAGATGCGGTGGCGTCGGTCTAGCTAGACAGAATTCTTGTAAACTACACGTGTACCGCACACCTGCGGCATCGCACTTGCGTTGCCGCCCGTTCTGCTTGTATAAAAGGGACTGAGCGGCCGCCGTTAAGACAGTCTTGGCTCTGACGTGGAACGGTGCGCTTGTCGTATTGCGTTACTAGTTTATCCTCGACTCGTTGGATAATTAATTCGTGTAAACGAATTAATTATTATTCCTAACTACAAAATCAGTCTCTGTACTATACCCCTAACACTTCCTACATCAGAAGTGGGATAAAGTCCCCCTTATTGCCCACATATAATCTTCGAATAGTATGAGAATTATTACATTTGTAAAGGCTATAATGCATTTCGCATTGATGGATCTCTTTTTATGTTAAATACCGTAATGAAATTTGCTGTCCTACTTACGATATTGTTGTATCATTAAACTTTAGAGAAAAGATGAAGTGAAATTATTTAAGCCAAAAAGATAAATCCTTTTGTTCGATTTGTATTAAAAGTACCCTCAAGTATTTTCATTATTTCTGACGTACTTAAATATGTTAACAAATGGAAGAAATGTCGGAGGCTTTCTAGACGAGTCATCGTTTGCATTGATTGAAAAATTAACTTGTTCAAGTTTTGTTGTAATTTGATAGTTCATGCGAAACGTGATTATCATCTGTTATATTTAGAAATTCAAAACGTTTAAGCGATGTACCAAAATAAAGGATTAACTTTAACATGCTAGGAATTGAAAATAATAAGTAACATTTTTGTGTTCTAATGTGTTGATCAGTGTTGCAGTTTGCTCCGAATACTGTGTGGTCGACAAGATTAGGGTTTGATGTCGAGAGATTCGTAGAAATCTCTACATCAATGATCAATGAGGAAGATGTTGTGACGGCTAATCGAACATGGTCAGGTACGGCCGAGCGCTAGTAAAATTGAGCCTACACCGCTACAGTCGGTAACTTATCGGCTGATCTTACGGCAAGGCAATTCAAGCGGCCGCCGAACAAATGGTGCTTTGGCGCTGTAAATGGACGTCTGAGGCTTGGTCGGCTTTCGTAGATTTTGCGCAGTTGCCTCCTTCCCTTTGAAATATGTGATGGTATCCGTCTCTAGACATAGTTTCCGTTTTTTGCGATGTTTTCAAATGTCGTACAGTTGCTGTTTCTTAATAGAATATGTGATGAATTTTGGAAGCTCGGAATTCCACGGTTCGCAATACATTTATCTCGATTTCTTTTAATTTTGCAAAGCAGTGCGACGATTCGCTAGCGCTAGTACGGCGCTACGGCATACTGGCGCGAATGTGGGACGAACGCAGCAGAAAGAAAAGCTGTAGTGCGTTTGCCCGGAGGTAGCCATATCGGCGCGTTCCAGACTTAAATGAAGTCTGGGATGGTCGACCGTTGTAATATTTAACAAGAGTTAATATCTGTTAGCAGGTGGTGATAACTGATAAACCGTATGCTGTTCACTGTCAACCGCACGAGGACGTGCGACAGTCAGAGGTAGCCGTGTCTGTGCATCTAGAAAATACTAGAGACGTTGCAACACTCTAGCGAAGTAATTATTCTAGTGCAGGAAAGGAACATGAAGTTGCAGGGAGGCTGGTCTGTGCTGCACTAGGATATGTGTCGTGTTGCTGTTGGTTTACATACTTGGGAGTTATCGTGTCACTACGTCCCTAACGATACACTTTTGTGTGATTGTGACGGGAACATGTTTGCGGTATGGTTGGTCTGTAACTGTTCTATACTGAATTTAAAAAAAAAGAGAGTAAGGAAAAAAATGTGGTTCTTACTACCATTGCAGGGCGTTTGCCGGTCCAATGATATAGCTACAGGGAATAGTGATTCCGGCCTAGCGAAAACAGTACTTGAAAAAAAAAGAGAGAAAATAGAAAAAGCTACAGACTAATCATTCCGATCTAACATAAAGATGATTAAAGTTTTGTAGGGCTTACTGCCGGAACAAAACTGACTGTCACCCAAGTCTGAAGGGTCAATATAGACTGGACCAGACGCTGTTATGTCAGGATAGTCGAACGATGTTTTTTTTTGTCTACAGATAACTAAAATTGTGATGGAGCGCGTGCGAGGACGCACGCATGTCAGTATGGCCGTGACGGCACCTGCACCGTTGTAGATGCGGTGGCGTCGGTCTAGCTAGACAGAATTCTTGTAAACGACATGTGTACCGCACACCTGCGGCATTGCACCTGCGTTGCCACCCGTCCTGCTTGTATAAAACGGACGGAGCGGCCGCCGTTAGGACAGTCTTGGCTCAGACGTGGAACGGTGCGCTTGTCGTATTCCGTTACTAGTTTATCCTCGACTCGTTGGATAATTAATTCGTGTAAACGAATTAATTATTATTCCTAACTACAAAATCAGTCTCCGTACTATATCCATTATACTGCCTACATATATATTCCTGACTTAATATTTCAATGGACAGTTTATAGCGCTATGCTTACCTGAAAATTCCTCCGCCGAGTCACGTGGAATGTTTCGCGGATAACATTTTCTTATCGAATAAGTATCTTATTAAGGCCTTAACCGTGGTTGAAATGCCTAAGTCTTGGATATTAAGTAAAAAATTCTCAATAACTGTTCATTTAATCCACAAACAAAAAAATACATGGTAATAGAAAAGGATTTGGTAAATGTTTTTAAGTGAACAAAATTGTATTTTTGTCAAACCTTTATTAAAAAAAAAATCCCCAAAGAGAACCTATCGTTGTCATATATTGCAAAATTTCTCCAAAACGGCAAAAGCTTTTTAAATAGTTCTTACATTAAAAAAAGGTCTATTAATATTTTTAATTGAGAGTTTTATTTTTATTCCCCGTTTTATAAGAGAATATATCATTTTTCCTTGAAATTGAATATATATACACGAGCGCGCATGCTCCGTCGCCCTGTCGCAGTCCGTTTTCGGACATCGTCGAGGGTGGACCGCGCGTCGGTGTTGGAGCGAATTCGTTCAAATATATATATTAGTTTTTTAAAAGTTTATACTCAATTATAAATATTTTTATGACTAAAAATACTTAATTTAGTTGATATCTGTACACTGGTAACTAAATATTATTTTCTAAATAAATTAATTTCTAAAGTGCCCAAAGAAGAAGAAATTTTCGCGGCGACGTTGATTAGTGAAATTGTAAAATGCATTTTTATATAATTTAGATGTGGAACGACGAACCTGCTCTCGTTACTCAGATTTCGATAGTTTTTAATACCTATGTAATTTTATTGTTGCATATTTTTATTAATTAGTTGATACTGAATTTTATAATTATGTATTACAATAAACGCTGTTTTTATGAGTATGAATTTATAAAATATTATTGGGGAGGGAAACATAGATACAGATACTTACATTTAGGTACACTGTTATCAAATTAAACCAAGCAATTTAAATAAATAAAAAAATGGTGCTTCCCTAAGTATAAATAACTATTCTTCTATATATTAAAGACATTCTTGGGTGTATGGTTTTTTTAATGTTAGTCAAACTATCATCTAAAAAATTTTGAATTGGAGAGCGGTTTCTCTACGTGATAAAGTTAGAAATGAAGATATTCGCAGTGGATCTAGAGTAACTGACATAGCCCAACGGAATATTAAAGTGAAATGGCAATGGGCTGGCTATATAACTTGGAAAACCGATAAAAAAAGGAAGAAAGGTTCTCGAGTGGCAACCTCGTACAGGTACACACAAATGTCCATATTAAGAGGCTGAATAGAGCCCCATTGTATGCATGGGGATCGTTTTGTAATTTCACGTCGTTATAGAAAAAAAATTGTACGTATTTCAGGTGGCGGTTTGCAAAACATAATTCCACAGAAATTCACTCAATAGAAAATCATTGCAAAGTTGCTTCTAAAAATACTTAAATTTTCAACGTCAATTTTTTCTTTTTTGGTAGAGCCATGCTGTAGCTATATTAGTAGTAGGTATAGTTGTAGCACGAATGGGTCGGCTAAAACTAATAACCGGCGAGATCAAATTTGGTTTGTACGCGAACTGTAAAATTTAGGGCAAGTGCCATTAAGTGAAATTAATTGCTATTTATCATTCGAGATTTGTGCGATTTTTCCCACCTTTCAAATAGTTACTCATTTTAAAGGGTCGGTAAAGCATCTGCGGTTCTCCTGGTGTTGCATGTTCGTGTGTGCCTCTTTTATAAAAAACCATTTAAAATGCTAAATATAGAGTATTGTGTATTATTTTTAGGACATAGTTAATTGGTCCTTCGACTGCCGGTTCAAGACTAAGTGAGGTTGACCTGTATAAAGTCCATTGCGGCGCCGAACGGGTAGTGGATTGCTGCCAAAGGTGTTTTGCTGGCCGCAACGGGTGCCGGCGCAAGCGCAACCGCAGCGGTGGACATCATTTTTTTTTAATGAAAGAGATTTCTAGAGAGACCACTATCACTGCGACCTAAAAGATCTATTGTGATCGCTGCTTTACTATAGTTCAATGCTAAGCCCTATGTCCTCAATGAATAGACGGAGTTGCAAAATTGTGAGTAATTTACTTCTTCTGGGCGAAGTACATAGTTTCCCAGATGAGTGCAGCGTTTGCGCTTTAACGGTCCGCAATTTGTCAAAAAGAAAAGCGTTTCCTCCTCTAGGGAGCAGAACCGGCATCTCTTTGAGTTGCTTAGTATCAGGATGGACTATTTTATGCTAGTATTCTTTGAGAGCGTGGTTCTACCACTGTCGAGCCAAGTCGTCCATGCCACAACCATAACATGTACTCAGTTCGGGTTTAGGCCTGAACTGTCAACGGAGAGCGCAATACTGTGTCTCAAGCAGACTGTGCGGTACTACACGGACAGGAAGATTCAGGTGTATGCGTGTTTCCTGGATTTGTCTAAAGCCTTCGACCGAGTGTCTTATAAAATCCTATGGCAAAAACTAAGACGGGAAAGTAGCTTGAGACCAGAGTTGGTTTCGCTGTTCAAATATTGGTACGGTAACCAGACTAACACAGTTAGATGGGGTAATGCTTTAGGTGATCCCTACAAACTAGAATTTGGAGTGAGGCAGGGTGGGCTTACGTCACCCAGGCTGTTTAATCTTTATGATAACAGACTGATTGAGAGGCTCAGCAGAGCAGGTGTCGGTTGTTCAATAGACGGTGTATACATGAATAATTTTAGTTATGCAGATGAAATGGTTCTGTTGAGCACCTCAGTCAACGGGCTTCGAAAGCTGTTAAAATTTTGTGAAGCATATGCCGAGGAGACTGGACTCAGTTACAACTCAAAAAAGAGTGAATTTATTGTCTTCAGAGGTAAAAACAAACCACTTGATTTCACGCCACGTATTCAGCTATGTGGGATTCCTTTGAGACAAGTGGCTGAGTTTAGGTACCTCGGACATATTGTAACTGAACGCCTGGATGATGACAGTGATATTGAATGAAATCGCCGAGCGCTGTCGGTCCGGGGCAATATGTCGGCTCGCAGATTTGCACGAAGTACGACTCAAGTCAAGTTAACTTTGTTCAAGGCGTATTGCCAATCCTTTTACACGTACAGTCTGTGGACTGACTATACGCAGCGAGCCTACAGTGCTCTGCGTGTTCAGTACAACAATGTGCTCAGGATGATGTTGAGGAGGGCTCGATACTGCAGTGCGTCGCCTGTGTTTGCGGATGCTCGTGTCGACGACTTCTACGCGATCATGCGCAAGCGTGCCGCGTCCATGATCAGCAGGCTATTGAGGAGCACCAACACCCTTTTCAGCACGTTGGCTGTGAAGCTGGATAGCCCGCTCTGGAAACTTTGAATGGTGCACACTCCAGCACCAGGAGAATCCCACCTGGAGTTCGCTATGTGAGGCTGGGGGTAGGTTAAATTACTAATATAGGATAAGTACTATAGTGACTAACATTTTAATATTAACTTCTATTTTATTTTATACTAACATTAGGCTAAGTAAGTTTTACTAACAATCTATAACTATTGTTAGTCGAAATAAAGGATTTATTATATTATACTATTATATATAACATGGCTGCAGCGTAGCTTTACCACGTATGAAATAAATAAAAAGGGTATTTTATGGGAGCATGGTCAAGCCGGGCCATAGTTGCAGCGTCACTTACGTGCAAAGAAACCCAGGACATCTTTTCTGTTGCGATCTGTACAGACTGCATAATAACACATTTTCTACATTAAAACTTTATTAACTCTTTCTTTTGCTAACAATACGAACGATTTAGAAGAAGATAAGGGTTGAAATTACAACTTGTTCTTGTTCTGCAACTTAATTTCTTTGCGTATTCTAAACATATTTGATATTACTCTCAATGTTCGTGTAGTCATGTTCTAATCTGTATACTCAAAATAATTTATAGTACGTAATACATTTATGTGTTAAAATAATGTCATCGCAAAGGCTATTTTTATATGACGAGTATCTGTTATAAGCTGACTCGGCTATCATATGACTTTATTAAGAAATAATTAGATCGAAGAGGATTGGTCCAAAACTTCAGTTTTGTCAGGATTATACTAAGTTGCGACACTAGATTATTAAAAGATATGAAATCTATATAACATATTATATAAATTAAAATGAATTGCCGGTCTCTAATATTGAAATAACTGTCTTCTATTAATCTCAGGGGTTACTTACATGCTATAATAAAAAATAAAAAATAGTTTTAATTTTTAGGCATCGTAGGCTCATAGTATGTCAGTAGTACAATTAAAACGTAAGAACTGATGTTAGTTATAAAACATATAAATAAAACAAGATAGAAATTCAAAAAAGTTTGGATTTTATTTTATTTTTTTATTTGTAGTTTGGATTTTATTTTATTTTTTTATTTATAGTAGTAGCTTGATTAAACTACCATGTGTCGGGCCATCTAGTATTTTGGCAAAGACGCTCAAAATATTATTCCAGCTTCACTCACTCTGTTCATCAATGCTCATTAATATATAAATAAACATTTTTAAAAATTTTGTCTGTCTGTCCGGACTAATCTTCGGAATGATTGAACCGATTGTGATGAAACTTTACGAACAAATAGAAAGCAATGCTAGGTTTCTCCTAGGCTAGCTTGGTACAACCATTGCACCGAATAACTCTATCTAGGCTAATTTTTATCCTAAAATTTGAAAATTAGACACACATAAAATAAATAGTCTTTGATTATCTTGAATCTAAATAACGCCACTTTAATGGATTCTATGCAGGCGAAGCCTTCGCGGGCCGTGCTTGCGGGCAGAATGTGCGAACCTTCGAGCTAAAATCTATATATCCATATTGTCACTGACTGACTACTTCAAGAGCATTACTTGTTTCAATCGTTCGAACACCGTTAGGATAAATTATGTATTTATTGTATCTATCAGCTTTATATTAATGTTTGAGGAATTTTTGTAATTTATATATGTATTTTTGGGCAGATATGTAAGTTTTTTTATATAACTATATATATATATATATATATATATATATATATATATATATATATATATATATATATATATATGTATATTTTTGGGCAGATATGAAAGTTTTTTTATATAACTATATATAATAAAATATAATAGTTATATAAAAAAACTTACATATCTGCCCAAAAATATACACATATATATATATATATATATATATATATATATATATATGTGTATATGTATATGTTGATATTACATGTTTTACTTTATCTTTTATTATGTATTAGTAATTTATATTATTTCATGTATTCGTTGTATATATGTTATTTTATTGCATTTTATATTTATAAATCGCATGCATTGATATTATATGTTGTATATTTATATTGAACCACCTACCACCTACCTTTGATTGCCTGGAAAAGATCGCTATGGGTAAGGCTGCCAAATTGTACATAATATAATGTTTTTGTTATGTCATTTGTATATTTGTTAATGGCGTACAATAAAAGTATATTCATTTTTTCATTCATTCATTGTCACGCATGTCGTCTGTGATCCAACCACTCAAGTACTTAAACTATACAATTCTTTATAAAGAATTAATAAAGAGCAATGAAATGGGAACTGCTTAATAGATTTTGATACCAGATATTTAAGTGCGCATACGATTCACATATATACATCGATTTACAAATAGCTCTTATCGAAGGACTCAGCAGAACCATATCGTTAGCGTTAGCAAATTCGGTGTCGACAACGTTAAGGTCGCCATTCAATTCTTAATCAAGCAAACTGTCTAAATCTTTAGATATACTCTTCTTTTTTTAAATTACCTTGGTTCAAAAATGTAATTGAATAGAAATTAACTTGTCATGGCGAAAAAATTAAGGTGATTAAAACCGCCTATACATTTGTCAAAAACTTCTATCCGATCCTATATATACGAGTACTAGATGACTTAAAAGAACAAGTTAAAATTGTTGTACAATTATAAGTAAATACACTTTTACTTCAACGTGGTTTTTCGTGAATACTTAAGAGTTGTTCCATTAATAAGTCTTAAGAAGGAAGATAAAAGTTAGAACAAAGAGATAAGTAAACGTCACTTTAACTTTCCTACTTTAGAACCATCTCAACGTCTGTCCCAATTTGCTCAGTTTCCTTAGAAAAATATTTTATTGTGTGCGAATGTGACTTTTTCTTTAAATGATTTCATTTTAATTGGTTAGTTCAATTAAACCAAGGGGAGATTTTTTTTTATTTTGTTATACTCTAGTTAGAGTATAACAAAATAAAAAAAATCTTAAAATAAATAAATTATACATAGTTTGTGCATTTATTATATAATAGGGGGACAAACGACCACGCATTCCACGTGCTGGTAAGTGGATGCTGTGGCCCATAGATATCTACAATTTATTCTAAGAACCAAAAACAGATGCGTTGCCACCCCCTGATAACTCGATGGAATACTTCGTCTCCATTAAGGGTGCGTTTGCAAATCGGGCCAAATTATGCTGTTTTTCGGTACATTTTGTGACAAAACTAAACCAAATCAAATATAACTAATAACTACAACGTATAGAATGGTTCTTTATCTTCAAAT